TATACGATGTGTGTATATATATATATATATGTATGATCCAAGCAGCAAGGCGGTCAGCCCTCGGGTCGTAGCGGTGAAGGCTTGCCATGAAGAGTGCGGTCTCCACCACGCTGGTGGAGTCGGTGCACTCGAACCGCGGAGTCTCCGCTGCTGGGCGCCTTTACGCAGCTTCTCCCAGGGAGGTTTTGGGGGTTTCCGAAAATAGGGGACCCTGATATAGTACTCTAAATAGTAGGATCCTTATTATAAGGACCCCAATATTAGGGTCCCCTTATTTTCGGAAACTCCCATTTCGGGGGGAGCTGAGCTTTCAGACAGGGCACATCGGCTCTGGCTGCAGGGCCAAGGGCTGCCATCCCAGCATCTTGCACATCTTGTTGCTCACGGCCAGCGGCACCCGAAACCAAATGATCCAGCACCTGCAACTGCCCGGCATCAACATATACCGTATATACCTAGTCATACTTTGCTCCCTAGGTCTCTCTAGTTCGGAGAATTCCAGGCTTCAACTCCTGTGTTTTGCTGCTTTGCTTTGCTTTGACCTCTGGGCCTCGGACAGCTCCAGGAACGCCCCAGAGGGAGATGCGTGGCGAAGGGAGGGCGTGAAGCGCCAAGTCGGGTAAGCCGGATCATCCTCGGTCTTGTTGCCATGGCATTCCAGAATTTCAATGAGTTTTAGGAGTCGCACAGCCATGAAAGAACCGCCTTCCTTCCACTCGGACCTAGCGGCTGTGCACCCTGGTGGTGGGCCCTCGTGATAGACTGCGTCGAACTGGTGAAATCGAGTGCTTCTGAGCGTGGCATCGAAGAAGCTCTTGGCCGCCACGTGCACCATCGGCATTAACACCTGTCCGCACTTCACTGGCTACTGGCACTGGGACAACACAGAAGTCCAATGCTTATGGCGTCCTGCAAAAAGGTGACTGCACTTGCTTTGCACTCTTTTTGCATGCAGCCGGCCGTTGGGGAGGGGGGCACACGCCAATCGGGATCAAATCATCACTTTCCATTCTTGGACCGGGCTGCCACCACGGTCGGTCCCTTCACAAAGATGCGCTCGTTGATGACCACACCACGTGAGGACAGCCGGAAGAAGCGACTCCGGACCTGGAGCACAGCGGAATGAGACGAGCAACTAGGGGGCATGTGTACAGAACCAACGGCTCTCAACATTTGCTTGCAGCATCTGACACACACTTGTCTCTTTGTCGGGGTGGGCACCAAAAACTGGAAGCATAGCAAGCCCAAAGTGAGATGGTCCGAATTGCAAGCAAGCAGCAGATGCCATTCGCTTCGGCCGGGGTCCCTGGAGCAAGGAAGCATGCATATCGCATGCCCGGCAGGGGGTAACTGGATGTGCATACCTTTTCAAGACTCTGCCTGCCCTCCAGGCAGTGGCTCGCCGAGGCCGCCAGGAGAAGCTTCCGCCTACAAGCGCCGACCCGTGCATCCTGCCATCCAAGAAGAGGGTGCGAAGAGGGCGAGGCTTGAGCAAGCGGCGCTCATGTGCCTGCTTTGTGCTCCTATCTCGTAAAACGCCGATTCTTCGCAGCGTGTCTAATGAGACTGCTGGGACTTACTGGATCTCATGAATCCCTCTTGTCTCTCATGCGTGGCTCGTGGTATGACTTCCTGTGCTGTCTTGACGGATGACGGACGGGTCTTCACTTTGCCTCCGCATTTACACAGGAAGCACAAGTCAGACGCCTTCATCGGAGCAACCATCAACTGCGTATTTTGCGGCTGGAACGCATGCCTGAAATGGACTTGGCCGAGCGAATCCCCGCGCGATGACGCGAAGCATGTCCTGGTGGCATTGCACGGAACAAGTGCAAAGCTCGTGCACCGCATCCTAACAATTTGTGCTTCTATCCTTTAGGATATAGTAGAACAGAACCAGCGACGGCAACGGCAATGACACGATGGCCCAATGGCCGCCTTGCGATGCCTTGCGCCACCACAACAGCAGCAATGGCAACAACAACTACCACCACAACAGCCACAGGCACAACCACCAAAGCAATAATCACCGCCGCCACCGCCGCCACCACCACAAGCATCACTCGTACCGACTCATAGCTCATGGGCGTGTCGTAGTGTTTGCACACACACACACACACGGTGCGGTGTCCGAAGGGGCATAAGCCAAGGCACGTACTGCACCTTAAGGTGCAAATGGCATCCTCATTTTACTATTCAGGCACTGCATGTGGACGTTTGGGTCCACACTAGCATGATACCCAGGGTGATGATAGCAACACACTTGACCCTCAACCCTAACCCGTTGAAGTCTGGGACTGGCTCCTGGAAGAGTGGCGACTGGACATCGAGGCCGGCCCGAAGTAAAGCATTGCAACAGATTGTTATGTCCTGGCATGGTAATCGAATAAATCGGTCTGGGTCCGGCTTGGGCAACCTACTTTCTGGCTGCAACCTACATTGGCTTTTAAAGCCGCAGCCCAAAGGAACTAGAGCAGGGATTGCTTTACACACCGTCGCGCACATTTGTAAAGGAAGTTTGGACAGGACATATCGGAGGCTTCTGCCAAGTCAAGTACACCGAGCCATATATGTAACAAGGCGAGAGGACGTGCTGCACAAGAACACTTGTGCCTGCAGAGTAAGGAACACCTGTGAGAAGCTTGAGCGGTACTTGCAGCTCCTTGTGAAAAGCCCTAATCGTCCTAATGGTCTTACCGCATGTGCGATGTTGCCGGTACATCGATTGGAGCATCCGGGCAGCCTGTCGGCACAAGCAGTAGTCGTTGGAAGGCAGCTGCATCGGCTTCACGTGGATGTATGGTTGCGACTGCATTGAAAGACTGTGGTCCAATCACGCCGGTCAGACTCTTGAAGTGGAGGGCCTCGTGGCAGATGGCCAACATGCCAGAAGCATTCTCTGCTGTGCTGCTATGCTCACCCGGCATGGTGCATTACTTTTGCCTAAAGGCAGATGCAGCAGCACCGCTTGCCGGTCAAGCTTCTTTTCCTCGCTGCCCTCCCGAAGTCATCTATCGTCCACTGCCTCTCTGTCCCTACCATACATGCAATGTACCATGGAGGCGCGGCATCACATTCTCCATGACTGCGCATGCTGAACCTTGACGTTCAGGAAAGTCCCTTCTATGCCCGCGGCTCGCAGAATGGGCCAAGTGAGAGGCAGTATTTGCCGACCACCCCGCCTTAGCAGCTTCAAAGAAGTGCGGGAGCGGCGGCTAGAAAATAATAGAAAGAGCGACAGCTACGTGCCTCCGTGGCCGGAGTGAGCACGCGTTCACCCTAACTTCATGCACGGTAGGCGGTAGGCGTCACATCTCCAAGCAGCGAGTATGCAGCCACGTCGCATTGCACGAATCCAGGCTCGAATCCAGTGCGAACAAAGGAGAGCGGGCACTGCACCAGATCGATTTCAGGGCACATCCAGAGCTTGTCTCCGGCCACTTGACCCTGACAGGTTCGTGTCCCTCGTCCATGCCCATGAGCATCAGCTGACATGACAAACAGCCCGACTGTGGCTACTACTGATGCTGACACTCCCTTCGTCGTCACAACGTCATGGTGCTGGTAGTGGAGTAGTAGGAGCAGTAGCAGTAGTGGTTGTGGTAATAATCGTCGTCGTCGCAATAGTAGTAGCAGCAAAAGAAGCAGCAGCAGCAAGCAAGCAGCAGGAGCAGGAGCAGGAGCAGGAGCAGGAGCAGTATCAGCAGCAGTATCAGTAGCAGCAGCAGTAGCAAGCAGCAGCAGCAGCAGCAGCAGCAGCAGCAGCAGCAGCAGCAGCAGCAGGAGTAGAAGTAGACAAAGCAGCAGAAGAAGTGGTAGCAGAAGAAGTAGAAGCAGAAGTAGAAGTAGAAGTAGAAGTAGAAGTAGAAGTAGAAGCAGTAGTAGTCGTCGTAGTCGTAGTCGTAGTAGCAGTAGTCGTAGTCGTAGTCGTAGTCGTAGTCGTAGTCGTAGTCGTAGTCGTAGTCGTCCTCGTCATCGTCATCGTCATCGTCATCGTAGCAGCAGTTGCCAAAGACAATGAGAAACATATCCGCATGTGATGATATGTGTAAATATGCAAAGAACAATATGCGCATGCGTTCTTGCTGCCTGAATACTTGGCCAGCTGTAAACTAGGTACATAACTCTGAACGAGACTCGGCACAAGACGAATACACAAGCGTATTCGGATAAGGTAGTAACCGGACAAGGTATGTGTGAAGGCATGTCTTTATTGTTTTACGTAGTTACGTCCTTCAAGTGCTGGTTCATTGTACTATTCGATTTATGTTTTTGTTGTTTAATTCTGGCAGACTTATCTATATAGGTCTTACACGCTACTCATTAACTATAACTATCACGAGGTAACTACCTCGACGGTCATACCCTATACCTCTTGTTTTGGGTACCTAGTTTCATGGGTGGGTACCCTAAACAAGGGTTAGGGTATGACTCTATACATGTGGGTAGTTTGCTAAATCGGGGTTCCTTTCACTCCACCCTTATAAAAGGACCCCCCAAAAGACCCAAATCTAGAGAACTGCAGATATAGAACCCTTATGGTACCCTTATAGAAACCCTTATAGATAGATCCTTTCAAGCTACCCTAGAGAACTACCCTAAACCCCAAACCCTTAGAGATAGATCCTTTTGAGCTACCCTAGAGAAGTACCCTTCGGGTGCTTGGCGTTGCCGAGGCAGAGCCGCCCCAGCAGAGCGGCAGCAAGTGTCGCTCAGCTGCGTTTAGGGTTAAGGGTTTAGGGTTTAGGGTTTAGGGTTTAGGGTTTAGGGTTGATTTTAGACCTAAACCCCCCAAACCCCCAACTTAGCGTTTAGGGTTGAGGGTTGGGTTAGTGTTTAGGGACCTCTAAACCCAAACTCGAAACCCTAAACTGCTAGACTCTTAACTTAGCTTGTTACAGGTCTATTCTTCCGGTTCCCAGGATCTAGCTGCGTGCTACCACTGCTCGGGCAAGCCCCGACTACTCCTAGGATCTACCTGGACCCCATGGTTACCCTCATTGTGTTCTCCATCTACGTCCTGACAATCTAGGACATGTTCATGCGCTTCGGGGTGGCGCTCAAGGGTTCACAATCTCCACTTGCGATCACCGGTTCCGATGGGGCCGATGCGACATGCGGAATTGAAAGGAGCCCTGCAACCCCAGCCTTAGGCCCCAAACCCTTAACCCGAAGGGTTTAGGGTTCAGAGGTTTAGGATTTCGTTGTTGAGCCCTACACTGCACCCTAAGCTCTGAACCCAAAGAAGCGAATCTGCATGAACATGCTTCACGAGCGGCTTCTGGTCGTAGCCTCGGGTGTTTAAGAAAGGGCGGAAGAATAGTACAAGTATCCCCTAAACCCTAAACCCTAAACCCTTAACCCTATAAGCAACTGCAAGCCTGAAGGCCCGCTGACAGCGACGAGTACACTGATACTGATGAGGATCTTCCGCCAAATCGACGGCTGACGCCTGGCTTACCCTTAGGGTTTGGGGTTCAGGGCTTAGGGTTTAGGGTTTAGGGTTTAGGGTTTAGGGTTTAGGCGGACCATCTCCCAAATTGCCATAAGGATCCATGTATCGGTACTCTGTGTGTGTGCGCTTGTGTGTGTGTGTATGTATAATACATACATAACATATATATATATATATATGTGCACACACGTATGTGTATATGTTCGCATTAGTGTGTTTGTGTGTGTGTGTTTAGGTTTACACTATGACACATACTACCGATAGGTGACACTTCGTAGGAACACCTTTAAGGCACGAGCATGTGTGTGTATGCATGTATGTAGGTATGTATGTACGTATGCATTTATGCAACGTATGTATGTGTGTATGTATGTATGCTGTGATGGTACATGCATGGACCGTTATGGTACACCTGGGGTCTTAGGCTCTTTGGAAGGAATCGAGCACGTACTCTCGTAAGGTAAAAGGTGTTTTGGTTGGATCCATTAGCAAGTGCAACTATAGTTATCTTGTTTGTAGTCCCAGTTACTAAAACCCTAAACCCTAAAGCAAGTAGGCCGTTCGACGCGCCAAAGCCTACACCCTGTCTACATGGCAAGGGGTTTTGAATCCAGGGTTGCATACTTGATACCTTAGACCTAATTCTAGACCCCCAGACCCTACACGGAAAAAGCAACATGAAGCTTCAACGTCCCGAGCCCAAAGTCAGCGAAGGCGACTCGTCGACGTCCCACGGCTGATGTCATGAGACGTCTGAGCTGTAGTTACGGATTCGGGTGTGTTGTTCAGGGCACCGCTTCCCTAAACCATAAACCCGAAACCCCTAATCCCTA